GAATCATGTAGAAAAATAAGTCATTCGTTTTTTACTTATCACAGTCTATTTGTATCAATTTAGTTTCGATCATTTTCAGTATTATTATCAAGTTAAATCATGTCGTTCGGGTAAGTTTCTAATGATTTTCACTGCATAAATTATGGAGTTTTGTCTTAGAACGTATAATTATTGGGCACAACAACAACAGCTCGTAGCAGATCATTCGAGAGCATCAAGAGCTCCAAGAATAGTTGTTATTAATGAAAAAGATCCCAAAAAAAGTACAGAGAAAGTAGTCACTTGGTTGCTTACACATTATCCAAATTGTAAAGTAATTCAGATGGCAATCGTAAAACAAAATCATCGAATATATACTCGAGTGATCTTTCAAACAGCTCAAGGTCAACGAAAGATTATTCTTTTCGATGAAACCGCATCATATCTAAACCGTGAAGGTGGATCCACAAGTCTTTTTCCAACTGGAACAGTGGCTCGTCTAAATCCAGGGACAGGATCAATCCCCACAAGGATACAAATCGTTCAACACTGAATTCATTAGTGCTTTCATATGATAGATCCGAATCATTTTTCATAAAATCTTTTCACAACTCACACTATTTTATTTGTTTAAATAATAATATAATCCAGATCTTTGAAAAGAATGTTTTTCTTGTGTTTACTCGTACTTAAAAGAGTATGAGTATGAAAATGATTGGATAAATAGACATAAACTATATCTAAGCTGTTTGTGTTTGGTGAGTTTGTATAAGAAACTTTATGTATTTCCCTTTCGCCAGTTACAGTTCAGACTAAAGAGTATCGAATAGACGCCTACACACATAAACCTAAGTTCTTTGGCAATCAAATTAATTTTTGTAGAGTTTTGAATAAATAGATGTTTAAGAAGTAATTGAGGATTTCGGGTAAATTTAGATGATCAAGTCACGAATAAAATTTTATCTGAAACACATCTTTTGATAGAGTCTATTCTTTTAACACTCTTCGAAACTTAAAAAACACAAAAAGTTGTTGAATGTCATATAGAAAAATAAATATTGTTATAATGCCGTTCGATGAAGCTCATTTTCAATCTTAAAAATATTGTTTTGAGGTGGTTCATAATGTTTCTTTTTCGGAATATTGTTTTTTATTCGACAGCATTTACACAAATCTGTTATTAAGATGGGTGGTTTTCCATACGTTGGTAAAGATTTTGTTGATTCAACTTGAACTCTTCCTGGTGCTACACCATATTGACCACTCAATGGCAGAAACCAGAACCAGTTTTCGTCTCGTAACGTTGCAAATATATAATAACAAGCACCAACAAAGTATACAATGTCTCCATAGGTATATAATAGATTAGTACCATATTGTTCAGGTTGAACATTAATTTGTATATTATAAATCATATAAATAATCGAACTGATTGTTGTTGCTAACCACGCGACTGTATCTGGATCATCCAAAGTAAAACCACGACCTAATGTGCGCACATAAGTCATGTACCATGACATTATCCTATTTGAAAAAATCGGTAAAATATCCAGAGAAAAAAATAGTTGTATTGAAAAATGAAAAAGTCTCCGAAAAGAACGACCTGCTTAAGAATTATTTCTACATGATACTAATGTTGAAATCGAAAAGGAGTTTGATGATCGTAGAAAATAGAAAAAAACCGAATTCAATCTCTACGTTAGAACTCTTTTCTAGATATAGAAGACCGCTTTTGAGACATCGTTTCGTTTACCATCCAAAGGAAGCTATTAATTCAACAGTAGCAGCTGTCATTTCTATTTTGTGTATGGCTAATGTGTAATAACCTCCCAGTGTATCCTCTCTTGAATACCATATGGCCGACCATAGATATAATCCTGCTTCTACATGATTTAAATATTCAGGTATCATTATGATATCCAGCCATGATCGGCCAGCCCATGACCACCAATAGAGAAAAGCTGATAGGATATGAACCGCCGCCAGACCTTAGAAAGAAACACTACGATACTAAGATTTGTTTTTAATCAATCTCTTACCGATATAGAATCGATTTACAAGTGGAACACCGATTACTGGTTGATCGAGAACAGAAATCATTGTTGTTGTATTATCATCATAATCATAATCCATATTATTATCGGAAGATGATCCATTAACATTCGGATTGAAATCAATAATTAAAATCCCAATAGCATAGACCAGATAAACTAGATTAGCAAGCATATATCGACTTCGAATCGTTTTCTTAAAGCATACTGGTACTCGAGTTTGTATCTGTTTCCATCTTAATGCTTGCCAAATACTATCAAATGATTCAAGTTCGTTATAAGGTGCCGTTGGATCATTTGCTTCATCACTGCTATTGATTGTATGCGTTTCTTCACCGTTGATGACCATGTTATGTCAATGATTTTATTATTTTTAATATGCATAAAATTCACTTTTGTCTTATGTCAACATAATTCATTTTCTCCCTTAACATTATTGCTTCTTTTTTATATATTCATTCAACAGAATGAAAAAAGTACATTAAAAAACAGGCAACGTTTGCATGGGTATTGGTATAAACTAGAAAAACTTTAATAATCACTAAAATTTCTAAATATAGCTCAGTCATCATTTTGCCAGAGCACACAAACATCTCTTGGCTTGGATAATGTTTAACAGAAAAAAAACAAGTGACATTCACCATATATTTCGACTTCAGTAATGGATTGATTAATAAAAATCCGTTAAATTGTTGAATAGCTTACCTTTCTGTTCTTATAAAATCAGAAAGAAATGTTCTCGCCGTATACAACAACAAACAGAACATTTTTTTGCTTTTCTTCCAACAACGACGTGTGATTATGTGACGAAGATGTTTGAAACGAGGGAACTGATTTCGATCCGCTCTTATTTTCTTTTCCATTTCATCGTCGAAAAAAAAGAAATGAGGAAATACAAAAAGACAAAATGTAGTTTACTCTTCTTTTTTCATATAATTTTCGTTATTCATATCTGCTCCATCTGTTTACAAGCTCGCGTAGATTAAGCCTCTCGTCTAATATTGCATTGTTTTGATTCCTCGATTACGTCTGGCATCCTTGTCCTTGAAATTTGAAAGAATATTAAGAAAACTACCAAATAACAAATAAATAATAAAACTATAAAAGTCTTCAGCTGAATTTTTAATAGTATAGCAATTTTGTTGATGTTATTATATTTTTCAGCAAAATTGGGTGTGGGTCAGGGTGGATGTAGTGAACATAAAAATCTTACTAACACTCACACCCTCAAGATTCAATGAATTGTGTTCGAAAGATGGCATAAGTCTACGAACTAGATCAGTGATATGTTTTTTTCAACAGTTATTATTCGATTAATATGGCCAACCAATTATGAAGAAAGTAATATTTATAATCTATAACTGATGACATTTCTTTTATTTTACTCAAATTGAAATAATAAAATTAATTATGTTTAGATCTATAAATGACATTTTGGCACGTATTTCCATCACCACCAACAGGCAATAATCGTCATATCGAACTTGCCGGTACCGATCTATGGATTACAGGATCTATTAATAATGTATTTGTGTATCCGTCAGCTTTGAATATCGATAAGTTCAAAGAAACACTTAGTCGTACTCTCTCCTTGTGGCCATTTATCGCTGGTCGTTTTCTAGTACTCGACAACGAGCATTACATAATTGAGATGTCCGATAATGCCATTCCACTCTCATTCATCGAAAATACTGTTCTTACAAAATGGCCTCTTGATTCGAACGTTGTAGTTGACAAGAATTCAAATCAACTTCAACCATTTTTAGATGAAATACAAACTACAAAATTAATAGGTGGTTCTCGAGATGAACCACTTTTCCGTTTGAAACTTACTCATATTGTGCAAAGTGGAGAATGGATAATGGGTGCTAGTTGGTCACATATCTTAGGAGATGCTGATGGTTTTTTACAGTTTTTAAAAACGATTTCACATTTATATCAAAACATGGAACCACCTAAACCAATACCTGTCTTCGAAAGACAATTATGGTTTGACAACGAAGTCGACGAATCTCTTTTACCTGATATAAAACAATTCTTAGATGATGATCAAATGAAAACAGATTGTACAAACAATCCAATAACATATGTTCAATTCAATATTTGTTTTTCCGGAGAACAACTCGCCAAATTACGTGCATTGATCGGTGGTCAAAATTTGAGCATATCAGATGCCCTGAGTGCTTACATTATTGTTATACTTAATACTCATTGTACACAAAATGACGAGCAACTAATTGTACGTACAAATACAATTATTAATTATCGTAATGAATCCAATCCGATTGGACCACTTGGTCTTATTGCAAATGCTGTTTTAATGCCATTATCTGATTGTTTTGAAGACCCAACATCTCTATCAAGCATTGCCAAAACTATTCGTTATTCAATTAATCAATCTCGTAATATCGAATTCGTTAAACATTGGGTAGCCAGTGCTGATAAAGTAATGCGAACAATAATACGCGAGAATCGACTTCCTAAAATGTCAACTTTTAAAGATCGAATTGTACTTAATTCTAATTTTCGATATGACTGGGCAAATCTCGTTGATTTTGGTCATACAAATAAATGTCGATTTTATACAACATGGACTCGTGCATTGTATCTTCGTATATTTCGTCTCAATCCAATATATGATGGTACTCGATGGATGGGAAGAGATGAAAATGGAGCTGAAGTAGCCTTTCGTATTGCAGAAGATAAGAAGAAAAAATTTATCGATGCATGGCAGAAAGATATTGCCGAAAATTTTATTAATATAAAACTATAAGATATATTTCGTAATAAATATCATAAAAATAATTCTTTTGATGTTATTTATACTTCACTCATAGTCATATCTTCACATTATTAGCTTAGCAAACGAAAAATATGTGTTATAGCAATTATACTCACCGACATGATGTCGATAAACCATCAAAATAAATTATTTTCAATAGAAATCAAATACAAAAAAAAACTGAACGTTCATAAAATTTCACATGTTTGCGATTTTCCTTCTGTTCGCTTTGTATTTAGTTGTATTGGTGCTGTTTGTCTACTGTGTTCGACAATCAATTTTCGTAGACAATTCGCAAACTTATTGAACTGGTGAAGTAACAATATTTTGCCATTATATCGCTTCGAAAATTCTTCTGCATAGCTTTTATATTGTACTTTCTCATCATCCTGTAAAACTTTAGCAAAACTCAACAGCTCTGAACCATCAATAAATTGACAAATGTTGTACAATTCAATCATAATTTCATTCTCATTAAACCATTGTTTAATATCAGCTTTATCCCAAGAAATAATTGACTTTCGTAATAATATTTTTGTTGTACTAGGAAAAAGCTCGTCATGCCTTGCTTGTGTTGTCAGTATTGGTAATTCATGATGTACCGGAGGAGAATTATTTTCACTAGACGATCCGGAAATCAATTGTTGTAAAGTTTCCATCAATTTTGTTATTTTTGCTTGCTCGAATTTGTCTTCATCAGCAAATCTAATATGAGTCAAATCACATGTTCTAATTTCTAAAAAAATTGAGAAATTCTTTTTGAAACAAAAAAAAAGCAAATAATATCTACCTAACCAACTAGGTACATCAGGTTTTAAAATAAATACTGGTAATAACGTTTTCTCTAATTTATCAATTGCATAGATAACTTCACGACGAACAGATTTACTGGTATAATTTTTCGTTATAAGACACAAAACAACATGTGCTTGTTTTATTCCATCTGCGATACGTTCCCAAGAATCACCTGTCGTACAATAATTTTTATCAATCCATACATCATATAATTCAGTTCGTTTTAATTCTTCTTCAAGTTGATAACATAAAACTTTGTCATCATGAGAATAACTTATCATAATCATTGGCTTTGAATTACTTTTACTCATATTATCAGCAATAGAAATTTTCGTTTGTGAAACTAATGCATCATCAGCTGATCCTTCATTAATGTTCAATAGAATTCCTACAGCAGCTGTTTGAATATTTTCAATATATTTAGGTACATATTGTGTGCTATCATTTAAGCTATTCGTATTATTAAAAAGTTCTTCTAATAATTTACAGAGTTTTTGATTATTTTTCAATTGTCGTTTATATTGATTATGTTCTTGAAAAGAAATACTCCAAAGAATATTGACGACAGCAGTACACGTGAGTTGTTTTAATGGATCTTTTTCATTTTTAACAACAGAATTAAATTTGAGTAATAATTCGATGAAAAAATCCACTGTTGATGACGCATCTAATTCAACTTGAGCATGTTGAAGAATGTAATCAAGTGCTCGATCATCATTGAATAATTTTACTAATACAACCAATGGTTCTGATATATGAAATCCACCATCTTTATAATCTTCTGATTTTGATGCATCTGAAACACTCTTCAAAAGTTGATCAAGTACATTATTCATACGTTTACGATCATTTTTAATTTGTTTTGGTGTTAATAGTAAAGCTAAACTCATCGAACAAAGAAGATTAATAGTAGGATCTGTAGTCGAATTTTGAACTTTTTTTATTACACTAATCGCTTCTAAGAAATTCAAGACAGTGATACCATCATCATGACGACTTGTATTATGAATAATACTGATAAACGCGTGTATAGCATTTGATTTTAAATATTTTTCCTATAGAATAAAAAGAAGTGAATTATTTTCATAACAAAAAAATTGAACTTACTGATGGAATAAATTCATAGGAGTCAAATAGTTTATCTTGGCTAAAAATAGAACATAATATCTTGTGAAAATATATCGATATAAAAGTGATGATTTACCTATCTACAATAGTTAACCACTTTAATATAGCTTCTGGATATCCGGTTTTAATTAAATTAGGTACTACAATTGTCTTGTCTGAATAACTCCAAAGAAAAGTTAATATTAATTGTGTTGTGTGCGTATAATTCGATGATAGATCAGATTCGAAATCAGATTTTATATAATTTAACAGTAACAGTAATATTTCTTGATTGTTATGTGATTCTTGTAAATCAAAAACAGTAAATTTTGCATGAGAACTTGTCGCTGCCATACAAAAAAGAATAATTGCAGCGAGTTGTTCATACACCAGTTTAGTATAATTCTCGGTATCTGATCGTTTCAAAAGTATCTTCATTCCAGGTAAATTAAGTAAACGTATATATAAATAAAATATATCGTATGCAAAAACTGAATTGGCTTTGAACAATGCATGCATGTTAATACTGTCTAATAGTTGTATGAATGTTTGAAATGTTTTTTCAATTTTTAAAAATATTTCATTGTCCACTGTATTCTTGTCAAGTAGTATAATAAATTCTTCTAAAAATGTTGCACCATTGGATAAGATATGTCTACGAGAAGCTTCGTTTTCATTTGTATATTGTAAATTTTGTAATTTTGTTAGTACATTGGAAAATACGTTATCTGATAACTCGTTCGTGCTTAAATCGAATTCTTCATCCATATTTCTTCAAAAAGAATGAAGTTAAACATGGAAAAGAAACTTGCATTTGTATTTGTTTTCACTTGACAACGCAAAATATCTGAAATTTCTTCTTTTCTTTCTTTTATTTGAGCAAGAAAAAAAATATACGTTAGCAGTTGTCAATGATTCACTACGCCAATCTGCGTTAATAAACAAGAATGAAACTATTTGTCACTCATGTACGTTTGAAGTTTTTTAACGTTTGATGGTGTGAGTACACTAAAATATATTCACACCCACAACCTCGAGAAATTAACATTTATATTTATTTCAATTTATTAAATAACCCACCACCATATATATGTAATTAGAAATCATGAAAAATTAAACAAAACAACAGAGAAAATTAAAAAAATTAAAAGCGAGATTATTATATTTTACAATTCAAAGCATCCCTCACGAAAAGGTAGTTCGTATCATTAACAAGTTTCTCGAAGAATGTGTCTATTATTGCATTGTTTTGATTTCTCGATTTCGTCAGACATCTTTGTCCTTGAAATTTCAAAGACTATTAAGAAAAAATTTAATATATTTGTTGTCTATTTTCTTTCAGCTCTTCTCTAAATTCTGTTAGTAACAATAGCGAGTGATTTTGATCGCCAAACAACAAATAAATATTGAAACTGTAAAAGTCTTTAGCTGAATTTTTTTAAATGTGAAAATTTTATTGATGTTATTATATTTTTTCAGCAAAATTCTGGTAGATATAAGCTGTATGTCTATTTCGATGTATAATATGATTCATATTATGCAACATGAAATAGAAGTCTAAGAGGAGATGTGAGCGAATTATTCCGATCGATTCTATTTCATATCTTCACCTGTGTCATTCATCAAAACGAAAGGAGATTTAACTTGTTGTATACTGTAAAACTATGATAAAGACTAGACAATGTATGATTGATTTTATCAGTAACAATTCTCAAGTAAATGAATATCATTTAGATATAAAAATCAGCATTGAAATAATGCAACAAAACCTTCTTTTTGAAGGTGTGATTATTTTATTCTTCTCATGCTATTACGCAACTGAATCTACACTCAATTAGTTAAATAAACAGAAAAACAGAAAGAATTATTTGAAGAATAAAAAAAGCGATGTATTTATTTATTGCTTCAAGTTAGCCGGAAATTCATATAATTAAGTACATGCATTATTTTTAAAATTATTTCGAAGTAATCTAATCATTAATGACTTAAAATTCGAAGAATAATATTTATTTTTTAATGAAACACATTTTAACATCTAGCGAGAGAATAATCGAAGTGATGACATATTCTTCTCTCTATTTCTCAGTAAATAATAACACTGGATTTATACTTAATTTAATTACAGTTGTTAATGTTTACAGCAATCATCGTTTTATTTAATATTCAAACGTTGTTAGGTGATTTTAAAAAAACAAAACTTCGAATCATTGTCATGCAAACATGCAAGTCAAATGTAGAACTGAGAGTAATATTTTCATCGAATTACAAGAAAAAAAATTCAACTCTATTTTTTGGTTGTTTTATAATTAGAAAACAATGTATTAGATATAAAATGTTGTAAAAATTTTTGATCTATAATATTGATAAAAAAGTATCATTATCTGAATCAAGTTGGTTAGATACTAAATAGTTTTCTTTTTCAATATTCAATATAAGAAATAAATCATCTTCAAGTAAATTCTATTGATTGTTGTTATGTAACTATATTAGATTTATTATGTTTTTATTCCTTATCATATTAATTTAGTTTTGAAAAGAGACGACTGTCTAATCTAACACATCTTTATAAAAACAAAAGTAATGTACAAACAATTGCACATTCTTTCATATAAAAATTACCGACACCGATGAATAATTGCTTTAAAAAAGTTATGTTTATTCGAAGGTGTTATATATAAACGTATGTGACCGATACACTTCATTGCTTTATTCGTGAATGTTAATTTCTTTTGTGTGGGTGTGCCAATAATTTTTTATACTCTTCATCGATCGATCTGTTCTGCTCTTTCCTTCCGGCTATAATTCATCATTGATATGGATCATTGACTAATCATACAATGTCAACTCTTCTATGTTATTTCTTTCTTCTTGTCTGAGTTCAATAAACGTTATTATCTTGAGTTTCTTAATAAAAATATGAACTCGATTAAAAGATCATCAAGTTTTACTCAATTTTCAAAGAAATTACGAAGTAAGTTATTTAATATAATTGACATAAATTTATTTTTATTTATATTTGATTAGATGAATCTAATCGACCAGTAGTTTCTATCGAAAATTTATCCGACGAAATTTTTTATGAAATATTTGATTATATTGATGCTGGTCCAATTTATCAAATATTTTCAAATCTAAATTATCGTTTTCAACAACTTCTTCGATCTTCATCATTTCTCTTGAAGATTAAATGTCAAAATATACGACAAAAGCGTAGCCACGAGGGAGTCGTTTGGGATTTAGACAGCGCTCTTAGAGAAAAAACATCTGGAGAGGAGTTCATGTTGAAGATGTTTTACGGGATGATGGGTATTTCTACTGACGCACGTCCCTCTGAGAAAATTTCTGACTACGCTACTGATATTCCATTAAGAAAAGTACATATGAGACACTCTCAAGTACTTTCCATTTATTCATGGAGACCATTAAAACACGATATTTTTTTTTTGCAATTTATGAGTGATTGGCCGTTTAGTCGTCTTGAATCGCTAAATTTCACAACTG